AATTTTGTATCATATATCCAGAGAAACATAGGATATTTTGAGTTGGAACGGACCTGCCTCAAAGTCCAACTCCTGGCCCTGCACAGGAGAGCCCCAGAGTCACACCATGTGCCTGAGAGTGTTCTCCAAATGCTTCTTGAACTCTCTCAGGCTTGGTGCTGTGACCACTTTCCCGGGGACCCTGTTCCAGTGCCCAACCATCCTCTAGGTGAAAAACCTTTTCCTAATATCCAACCTAAACCTCCCCTGACACAGCTTCATGCCATTCCCTCAGGTCCTGTCAGTGCTCACCAGAAAGAAGGGATTTTAATTGCATAAGAAGGAATACAACATAAAGAAAAGTTCCCTTCATAGGAACCTGCCATAAAAGGGGAGAGAATGGGTCTAGGGATCAGTTAAGTATCATTTGGCAAGTATTAGAGCAAAGGGTTGAGCCAGTGGGCCTATGCCAGCAAGGCACAAAGGGGCGGCACTGTAGATTATCTGCATGTAAGGGTCATTGTACACTTCGAGCTGCAGCCTCGCCCTCACTGTTTTTAGGAGTTGGGCAGAGCAAGGCAAATAAAGCAGCTTTTGCAACACGGTTACGTAAGTCGGCTCATGCTTCTCTGGCACCACGTGCAGTCCTTTCTTCCTAAAGACCGTGCCACCTTCTGCTGTGCAGGCTGCAGACAGGATCCACTGTCCAGTGTTCTCAGTTGAAGGCACTCACTCTGGCTGAAGGACATTGTTTCCAGATGGCCTCATCTCCACTCCCTGAAAAAAAAGTCATGGCTTTGATATGCATATAGCTAAAGAGATGAGGAAAATTTTGATGGGAACTCAGAAGGATTACAAGGGTGTTGTGAGTTTTTGCAGGGAGAAAATTAGAAGGGCCAAAGCCCAAATAGAACTTCATCTGGCTGCTGCCATAGACAACAATAAAAAATGTTTCTATAAGTACATTAACAGGAGTAGAGCCCCATCATGCATAGCGGTGACTTGGGAAGACAAATGCCATCACCCCAAATGTCCCCACCTTCCTCCTTCTTCCCCCAATTTATATACTGAACATGATGCCATATGGTCTGGAATATCCCTTTGGTCAGTTTGGGTCACCTGTCCTGGCTGTGTCTCCTCCCAGCCTCCAATGCACCTCCAGCTTCCTTGCCACCTTGGCAGTATGAAAAACAGAAAAGGCCTTGGCTCTGTGTAAGCCCTGCTCAGCAATAACAAAATCACCTCTATATTATCAACACTGTGTTCAGCACAAATCCAAAACACAATACCATACCAGCCACTGGGAAGAAAATTAACCCTACCCCAGCCAAAACCAGCACAGAGGTTCAACAAGGCCAAGTGCTGGGTCCTGCTCTTTGGTCACAACCACCCCATGCAGCACTACAGGCTGGGGGCAGAGTGGCTGGAAAGCAGCCTGAAGGAAAGGGACCTGGGGGTGCTGTTTGACACTGGCTGAACATGAGCCAGCAGTGTGCCCAAGTGGGCAAGCAGGCCAATGGCATCCTGGCCTATATCAGGAACAGTGCGGCCAGCAGGACTGGTCAGATTATATGCAGCATTTTATCTCTTTTTTGCTTGTTTGTGAAGGAAAAATCTTGATTTCAGAATGCTGGGCATAATTTGGAAAGAAGTCCACAGCAAAGGCATGCAGTGCTGACCTCCACCCAATCCCTTGCACCAGCACGTTGTGCCAGGAGAGGCTGTGTGGGCATATGAGCAGTGATGGGGCCTGTGCTTGTGGGTGTTGATGGAACCGATGGGTCAGGCACTCACAAATCGAGCAGGGTCTTGGTCTGGTCAGATACATGCATTCTGTCCCACCTGTTCTCGCTGACTTACTGATTTTTGTTTTCCAATCAGCATGATTGGCACGTTGCCCTTGGACACTATGAAGTGAAAACCATTCCAACAGATTAACCAGTAACCAGACTGGAAAACTAAGAATTTGGGAGCTGGTACAGCTGCAGCCTGACAGTGAGTGTATGTTTCTTAAGAAGCTTGCACAGTCACATGTTTTAATATGTCAGCTGGACTCTTACGAGTGTCACCAAAGTTCATCAGCAAAGCCTTCATGTTCTCACTGTGTCCCTGTCACTGTGAATTCAAGAGCCACTCCCCCCTTTTCTCTTTGCACATACAGTGCTACTGAGAGTAGAGGGTTTGGAGAGCAGCTCCCAGAGAGGTGGAAAGAAGGAAAAAGCTTTCAGCCAGGGCTTTTGCTTTCTTCCTCTGATGCAAAAAAAGGATAGGGAAGAGTGTGACAAAGGAATCAGGAAGACAGAAGCAATGTAGAGAGTGAGGTTTCATCAGATAAGTGGTTTATTTTCATTCTAGCACTTTTTCTCATTAAGGGGTGGGACTCTGAGCTGGGAGGCTTGGCTAAAAGCTCGGAGCTCCACTTTCAGGAGCGCTTCATAAGGCCAGCTTCCAGTGTGTTGGAGAGGACTTGTGGTGCCAGCAACCCGACTGCTTTGAGGCTGAGTGAAGTCTTGGTGGCAAGATTTGAAACAGACACACCAGTCAACATGAGCACAGCAGGAAAAGTAAGCAAAAGTTTGTATTAGAATAGATTCTTTGCTGCAGCTGAGTAATGCATTTTTAAATGCAAATTCTTTGCAGGGACACCGTGAGTCCTGGTGGTACAGCACCAGGTGAGAGTTTAGGATGAAGCTGGTACAGGAGAACTGTCTTTATTTGTAGGCCACTGTACTCTCCTAGAAAATGGTTGTTAACTCTTCAAGGCAATAGTTTATTTGAGGCAACATGAGGTAACAGCACCAGAACAAGAATAACTTCCTCTCTGGGTTAGCAAACTATTTTTAATCTTTGATTGGATAGTTTAAAATAGGATAGAATGTAGGAAGTGTTCAGATCAATGTATTTATCTGCTCTATCAGTTTCCATTCTGAGATCCCCCAGTGGTTTAAACTATTTTTATCTTATTTATGATTCATATCAGCTTGTTTTCTAAAACAAGGACCTAGCTAATATGTGTTAAATTTTGGGGTGTAATTGTGCTGACATTAGGACAGTCATTAAATTTGAATATGTATATAACAAGTCTCAAACTTAAGTTAATGAAGACCAAAAGTAAGTTTCATATGCAATGCAGTACTGAGCTGGGACTAAAATGAGTAGGTACATGTCTTTGCTAGAAAATAAGTGACGAGAGAGATGGAGGTTAATACCACTACCCGTTGCTTCTTGCACTACTGCCGAGGTGCTAACATACACCCAGGGACCTGCAAGAGAGGTTGATGGACAAGGGACCTAGAAATAGAAAACAACTGAAAGCATGTACCTTGCTGTAATGTGCCTTAAGAAAGTACCAGGATCATTTGCTGTTACTGCCGGCTGTCTTCTCTATTCTAAAACCAACTAAAACAAGAGAAAGGAAAAAAAAAATAAATGCTCTCTCTAACTCTGAATTACTGCAAATGCAAAATTAATTGTAGCTCACTTGTAGATAGAATCACGAGGTTCAGTTCTCTACCCAGCCTTGGGCTAAGCAAAGTAAGTGAAGTGTTGTAATGTAACTTAACTGCCTTGATTTCACCATGTTTATCTTGGAATGATGTGGGAGCTACCATGCATTTTATGTAACCAAGCAGCATAATCCTCATGCCCTGTACAAGGGTGTGTTTCTGTGCCTACCCTCCCCCACCCCAGTAACTTGCAGGGCTGGTAGAACACACAGAAAAAAACCTGACTCCAGCCAGTGCTTGTCTTGACAGATGAAGTGGGTGATAGGGTGCTGGTGGTGCATCTGTGGGATTCTGTCGTAATCCGTAAATGTTCTCAGGGACACAACCACCAGAACAATACACAGTTAACCAGTGTCTTATAGGAGAGATTTGTTTGTTCTCAGCAATCCACAGTTGTTGGCTACCTTTGTTCTAGGAAACACTACATGTTCTTTGCATGTAATAATAATAATAATATAATATAATAATAATATTATTATTATTACATGTTCTTTGCATGTGCAAATCATAAATTCATCATCGTACTATGTGTGGTACAATATAAATACATAAATCACCATTTTTTGGGTTTTTTTAAATAAGTTTCCTGGAAAATGTGGCCCTTTCAAATGTGATCTTTGCTCTCACTTGTGAATATTTTATTAATCACGCATTTGACACATGAAATGTTACATTCAGTGTAAATGTCTCTTGAAACAGTTTTTTTCAAAGAATTGGGCCCATTCCACTTTGTGTCTAGCTGCTGATAGTGTGCTACTTTATTTTATATGTTTAGTATTTCCTAGTAATTATTTTCTTTGTTACCAGTTTACAGTTCATGGAGAACTAAACATTATTTCTACTTCTCCTTCAAAAGCTTTGATACGAAAAATTTGTTTGTTTGTTTTCCCCTGTGAATTTTGCAGCACACTGGAGTTAAGTTGGCCCAGTGATGCAGGATACTCATGCATGTGCTAAACTTCCTTCATCATGGACTCAATTCCCCTCCATTTCCCTCTCAAGATAATGCCACCCGAACACTTGCAGTCAGTAGACTTTATAATAGAGTGATTGAGGGCACTGTCTCACTCATAAGGTTGTCATAGAAAATCATATTCCAGGGCCTGGGATGGGCTGAGACCACCAAGGAAGGACAGGAATAGATATAGGGACAGAGAGGCCGCGCTGCTTTTGAATACACTAGGATTGAGACTGCAGGGAGGAAACCTTCTCTTTGAGAGACTGGGAGAGAACAATGCTACTCTCTCTTCTGAGTGTGTTTTTCTCTCAGTGGCAGATGGTCAGAGGAACCCTAAGAGCTGTCAGTACCTGGACAAAACCTGAAGAACTAATGGACAAACTTTAAGCTAACAGGGGGAAAAAAACCAGCTGTTTTGGGTAGTAACCCCATCTGAGCTAAATGTCCCTTCTAAGAAGGAAGGTACCTAAGCATGGATAATATTGTGCTGAAAGGGCTGTTCAAGATTACCTCTGCCTACTGCTGCACCATTTAGCATAGGTGTCCTTTCAGCCATCACCTCATGGCTGAATTTGGGCTCTACTAAAACATTTATAAACCTGTATTAGGCTCCGAATTCCATTTTTAGCAATTTTGTCAGTTCCCAACACAGGCAGTTCTAGGCAACTCAGACTTTATCACCACCTGATACACGGCATCATTTAGTGTGCCATCTCCAAGAAGACACAAATATACACAAATAATCACTGACATGGCAAAAAAAAAAATCCTCCAAGGAAGTTAGAGAAGGACCAATGAGTATGAGCAAGGTATCCAGTTATCCTGGAGACTATTATACATGCTGCCAAAAACTTGACGTGACAGAAATATGAGCAAAGTCAGACACGATCTTGGTGGAGGAAAAACATGGGCTTACACTGTCCTTTGGTGTTGGCTCTTTTGCTATGTATTGTTTGGGGTTTTTCCTGTAGTTTTCCCTCTCTTCTCCACAGATATGAGCAGGAATTTCACATGCAGAATTGTAAAATCTCTGTGGTGACCTGAAAATGCAAGTGCCATTCCTGTTTTCTTTGCTCTGTTTGCAGGTTATTAAATGCAAAGCAGCAGTAATGTGGGAAGCCAATAAACCATTTAGTATTGAGGAAGTGGAAGTGGCCCCTCCAAAAGAACATGAAGTTCGCATAAAGGTACTAAAAATATAATTTAAAACAACTCTTATGACTTGCATTCTATCTTGCTTTTTATCAGAATTATTTTTATAGATTTTTAAGATCCAGTCAGAAAACATTCTACTAGAGAGCAGTTACTTATCAGTGAGCTCCTACAGAACATGTTTAAAGTCCTAAATTTGATAATGAGTTTCCTAAAAAAAAAAGTTTTCATGGTTGGCTTTTTTGTTTACAGACGGTTGTTTTTCAAATAACCTGAAAAAATTACAGTACAAGGAAAAAAATCAGAATCTCCTGTAGAGTGCAGCAAGAAATTTTCTTTTACTTTGTTTGAATCTGTGCTAGGAAACAGCCCAGTAGGGCTAGGAGCTTTCTTTTTTTGCCAGGATATTGATCTCAGTGGAATTCAGCAGCAGTTTTAAGTTTTCATTTTAGAGCAGTTTCAAGTGTTACAGAAGTGAGAAAACCCTCTCCTGGGGTTAACAACTCCATTTGTCAGAATAAAAGTTGTAAATACATACCTGAATGTTTCAAAAGAAATACTGCTGTTTTAGCTGCAAGAAAAGTCAAAACATGATATAAAATACTATGTGTAGCCTAAATTTTTGTCTATGTAGCATATACAAATATTTAAAATATATAAATAATATGTAATAATTATTATGTAATTCTCTATATCATTTTATAATACATAATTTAATATATATTGTCATATAATCTAAATATAATAAATATAAAATATGCACAATATTTCTATGTTTATGAATATGTAGTGGTTAATTTACATAATTTTGTAATATTTTTGTAACATTATAAACTTTTCTTTTTATGTATTTATATATAAACATTAGGAATAATTTAATTTATTCTGTTCTTCCTCTATAATTGTATTACTAGAACATTGGTTCTGCCAGATAGTCAATGTGACTACCTATACTGCTCAGTACTGCAGAGAAAACATTCACAAAGGAGCCTTGCTCTGTAGATTAAAGACTAATACAAACCATGACAATTTTGAATCACACAACCAAAACTGTGCTACCTGTAGGTTTATTGTATACATATTGGATTTTGGAGGAAAGCAAATGACCTCTCCAAATGTAAGATATCATTTCACTTTCACATATGACGTGACATAGTTAAATGCTGAAATATTGTTGTCTTTGCTGTAAATCAGATCATGGCCACAGGGATCTGTCGCTCTGATGACCACGTGATAACTGGCGCACTGGTTATGCCTTTTCCAATAATTCTTGGGCATGAAGCAGCTGGTGTTGTGGAGAGTGTTGGGCAGGGAGTGACTTCGTTCAAACCAGGTATGGAGCAGCAACTGAACACAAACCCTGTACTGAGTTTCCTGACTCCTCTTTGAGTCAAATATTATTACATTTGTGAGTATTTGTATTGTTGAGGAAAATATTCCAACTTTGATTCTTTTCAAGGATACCTTAAAAGACGCTACCTGTGTTTAGGTCTTTCTGTATTCCCAATCTTGATTAATTTTCTGATTTTCTATTCAGTTTCTTTTGGTTTTGGGAAAAACACCTGCAGCTTACTTTCCACCTACAGAGCACTTTTTCTGTCATGGGACTAAGAAAATAGATTCTTTGCTGTTGGTCATAGGAAATCAGGTACTAGCTGCAGATTCTTTGAACACAGTTTATACAACTAATCTCTCTCAAGAATAAGGCAAAGCAATGCACTAGACAACATGTCAAAATACCTTCTTTTAATTCTCCTAACAGCTAAATAATCCGTTGACTTCAGTAAACCAGAACTTAGGTCTGTGTGTTCAATTACTTCACTTTAAAAATATCAGGGCACAACTGGAGTGCCCATCCTACTGCAGGCTCTGCGTGCGGGCAGCGCCAGTGCAGGTGAGCCAGCACTGCTCCCTCAGGGCTGCGTTGCTCTGAGGACACTCCTCTGGACCAGCTGCTCCTTTCACTACCTTCTTGAGCAACAATGCGTAGATGGTCAGTGAAAGATGCCGGTTTTCCTCCAACTGCTGCAAGATGAGATGGGATTTCTGTATGCTTTTATAGGACTGAACAAATTATAACAAGGGGTAAATTATAAAGAGAAAAATATGCAGTGAAAAAAATCTGCATAGAAATGCTCAATTTCCAGGCAGCTTGGTTATGATACCCGAGTAATTCACTTTTAACGCCTCCATACTTCCTGTGTCTTTGTCCGTACCAATGAGTAAGAAGTCTGTCCAAAGCAGGCTGGTGTGTATAAGAAAAAATTTTATTACAGATTTTTGCTTTAACGCCAAACAAATACGCATATTGCAAATTTCAGTGGTAGCTCTAACTGCTTTTTCTCTTATGTCTGGGTTCATAAATCACTCTGTTGTCTCATTCTTGCTGCCTCATGTTTCCAGGTGAGATGAAGCAGCATGCCTGAACACACATGTGCACCAAATCACATTTCTCAGATGTTGCTTAATTTACACCCTCAAGTTCTAAAAAAGGCTCCATGATGTGCGAAGTTTCTTTAGGAGAATGATTACTAAGCCCATGTCATATTTCTAAGTTAACTGAGGGTTGGGGTAGTGGCAGCATTTCATGTTCTGTAGGCATTTTCCATTTTTAGTGAAAATCAAAAAATTCCCTGGACTTTCAATGTGTCAAGGATTAGCCAAATTTTAAAACTGACAAATCATAAATTGATCTGTATTAGGAAATGCCTGTTTAGAGATTATTAGGGATTTACCATACATCATTGCTGTGGAAATTGCACAGGAGCAAAAAATTGCACTGGGGAGCTATGTTCTACTTTGCTAATCATATAATTGTGCAAGAGAAGTAGAGATGTTGGTTTAGTTTGTCTGTGTTACTGCTTCTCTGACAAATATTTTGCCTACCTTTACTCCAACGCAACAGTAATAGGACTGCTAGTAGCAAAGAGGCTCAAGAGGACTGAGAGTTAATGCTTAATTCCTCATTCTTTGTATGCACAGTTTACAGACCTGTTATCTTGGCACTGCAGTCTAGGTGATGTCAATTTTTATTTCAGTTTCTTTATTTGTGTATTACTATTTTCCTTTTACACAGAAGATGCAATAAACTGCTGAATAAGTAGTTCAGGAATATCAGTAGCAAACATGGGTTTATGACATAGACTCAGTTCTATGGAAAGACACTAGGAATTTTGCATATAAAAATTAGTTGTCATAACTTTGCCCTAATGATGTCCTTTATATAAAACACAGAGAGACGGTTTATCTTCCAAGGGCAGCAGAAATAAAACCATCACTGTACTCCTAGTAAACATTTGCCTGGCAATTAAATACACTTGCTTCACGTTTTTACCTGTATGCTTCTTGTTTGCCTTTTCTAATCCTCTGTCATTACTGTTTTATTTCTAGGAGACAAGGTTATTCCACTCTTTATTCCACAGTGCGGGGAGTGCAAGAGTTGCTTAGGCACCAAGGGTAACCTGTGCAATAAAAATGAGTGAGTTTTCCTTGGTTACTTACAACCCTAATTTGATTTTTCTTGATACAAAACTGATTACACACAAGAGATTTCATTTGCCATTATTTCTGGTCATCTTTCAAACAGCCTTGCTTTGGGTGGTGGATTAATGCCTGATGGCACCACTAGATTCACCTGCAAAGGAAAAGCAATTCACCATTTTCTTGGTACAAGTACCTTCACTGAGTACACAGTAGTGCATGAATCTGCTGTAGCCAAAATCGATTCCGCCGCTCCTCTGGAAAAAGTTTGTCTAATTGGCTGTGGATTTTCAACTGGTTATGGGGCTGCTCTGCAGACTGCCAAGGTAAGTATTGTGGTGGGTGTTTCTGATATCTCATGGGGTCTGTTCAGGATTGTGTGGCCTGCAAGTGGGTCATCAGCATGGCAGCCAGGAGGTATAGGCTCTGCTTACATCACATCAGGGTGGAAAGAAGATGCTAGTTCTTTGCTTACTTCAGATTCTCTGTCTCTAAGGTACTCAGAAGTCTTCAATTCAAAATTCAGTAAAAATACTTATTACCATTTGTTAAGTTTTCCCTCATAGCTTTATCACCCCTATAAAATGTTACAATAGAGCATTTTTGTTTTATTGTAACTGAAGTCTAGGAATTCATAGAAGGCTATATATGTAACACTCATAATTCATAGCAGTACATGAATGGCAGCTGGCACTGACTCCAGTGGAGTGACACTACAGATCTTAACACCACTGGAATATAAAGCATCATTAAAAAAAAAAAAGGGTGCGTCTAAACTTGAAGCTGAGACATATAATGAAAACCTGGTCTCAGAAATGTATTTTAGGGATAAGAAATATTATCTGTGGAAGGTACATTTTAGAAAGGATGGAGGGAGATGAGGGAAACGATTACCAGCCACATGTAGGTTTGTAACAGTATAGCTGGCTACTGTACTAGTAGGTATGCATTTGCAAATTCCTCCTCTAATCTCTAGATTAAAAAAATGTCTTAAGTGAAATCATGTTAATAATGAGAAAATGCATTGTACTTTTCCTAGACTGTAACAGTATTCCATATTTACATGGTTATTATAGGTGGAACCAGGCTCCACCTGTGCTGTCTTTGGCCTTGGAGGAGTTGGCCTCTCCGTTATCATAGGCTGCAAGGTGGCTGGAGCTTCCCGCATCATTGCCGTGGATATCAATAGTGACAAGTTTGCCAAGGCCAAGGAGCTGGGAGCCACCGACTGCGTCAACCCTAAAGATTTCCAGAAGCCCATTCATGAAGTGTTGATCGAAATGACTGGCCAGGGTGTGGATTACTCCTTCGAGGTCATCGGCCGCACGGATACCATGGTAATGCAACCACAGGGTGTGGCCAAATGAGGCACTAGCTTGTTAGCACTCTTCACTAACCCACTGAGCACCAAGGATGAGAGCCACTGCAAAGCAGCAAGCTAACCTGTCAAGTCTGCCACTGAGATGCAGGGACAGAAGCATGCTCAGAAACTTAGGAAAGGGAACTTCATTGTAGTGCCCTGGCCTAATCAGAGTGGCTAAATTTCACATAGCCCATTATCTGCTTTCCAACTGTGCCTTATCACTAATGACTGAGACAAAATGGGGAGGGAAGGAGAACAAAGCTAGGAATACCTAACAGCAGATACAGTGGTGTGAGCAGATACAATGGAATTTTTTTTATGTGGTCCCAGTTACAGAAAACGAATTGCAAGTAGAACCCTGGGAGGAGGAGGAGTTCAAACTTTTGTGCCCCAGTGGCAAATCTTTTATGACTCTGAGTGTCCCTCTGTTTCAAATACAGACCGCAGCCTTGGCCTGTTGCCAGTATAACTATGGAGTCAGTGTGATTGTGGGAGTGCCCCCTGCAGCACAAAAGATCACTTTTGATCCCATGCTTCTCTTCACTGGTCGCAGCTGGAAAGGCTCTGTCTTTGGAGGTAATGACTTGGAAAGTTGTGGTTTAATTGGCTTGGGAAACTTGTAAATCATCTTGGATGAAATAGGATATGTCAAATTCACTTCTTAGGTTTTCTTAAAGGAAGTAATATTGACAGCTATTCTGCTGACAAAGAAGTACATAAGGAATTAATTATGGGAACTGTTAGTTTACGCCAAGAGAAGAAGGCAGAAAAATAAAAAGGAGGAAGAAAGCGAAGAGGAGAGAGAGAAAGGAGGAGATAAAATGACAGAAAATAGAGAAAAAGAAAGAGGAAATAAGAAAGAAAATAAGAGGAGGAAATGAGAAAAAAGAAAGGGAGAGAGAAAGGTAGAACAAAGAAAAGGTGGGGAGGGAAGGGAGGAGAAGAGATAAAAATAAAGCAGAGGAAATAAGATAAAGGGAAAGAAAGGAGAAGGACAAAGGAAGAAAAAAGAGAAAATGATAAAAAGATAAAGTGGAGGAAGAGAGGAGAGAGGGAGTGGGAGAAAAAGAGCCACAGAGAGAACAAGAGGGAGAGAAAGAGAGGGAGAGAAAGAGAGACAGTGGGAGAAATGGAGAGTCAGGACCATAAAGGACATCAGGGGTCATACCAGCTGATTTCCACACGTCAGACCCCAGCTCAGCCCCTGGACAGCTGCTGACAGTTCCTTCCAGTTCTTTCTCTTTTTGGAGCTCTCCCAGCAGAGTCCCACATGCAGCAAGTCCTAGCTCACTCAACACAAAGCTGAAGGCCACAGAAAACTTGTTTCCAACAACAGGTTTTCTCACTCACAGCCAGTTCTCTGATGTATTCAACAGGCACCTGAATAAAATAGCAGAGACAAATTAGATTCCTCTGGAAGGGCATCCTACAGTTTGTGACAGCTTTATCTAATAGTGTTTGTAAGAAAACATCCACCACCCACCCCCAATTCTGACCAGAAAATCAAGTTTCCACTTAGCAGATTACCAATGGGTGTCAGCGTTCTGGCTTTTGTATGAAATGGGATTAAGTTGAAACTGTATTTGATGTGGGGGAAAATTTGGATTCTGTAAAGATTCAAATATTTACTGATCTTCTACCAGTAAAGCACTTACTGGGTTTGCCACACGTGGAATAGCTGCAATTCATCCCATGTTTCCTGCTGGCACCCTGTTACAAAGGTAAAGACATGCTGCAATATTTCGTCCTGTTATTCTGCTATAGCAATTTTATCTAACATTTAACCTCCTGTGGGTTTTATCTATTTTCACAAGCATTTAATGTTGCATTATCTATTGTCTCTGGGGGGTTTTTCAGGCTGGAAGAGTAAAGATTCAGTCCCTAAACTGGTTGCTGACTACATGAATAAAAAGTTTGTTCTGGATCCATTAATAACCCACACACTTCCTTTCACAAAAATCAATGAAGGATTTGATCTGCTGAGGACAGGGAAGAGGTAAACATTGTTTCATTGTAAATGTGCATGCAGTTCAGCACAGTAAAGATTCTGTATAAATAGCTTAAAGGAGCTGTACAGTAAGACAGAGCCTGACTTCATGGCAGTGAATGGGGAAGGCAGCCAACTACGCCCATTAATCTCTTCCAGTGTGTGCCCATGGGTTGCAGCCGTGACAATAAAGCCAGCAAACCTTCAGCTTTTGAAATGCAGTGGGCCCTGGCCTTCCTTTCAGGGGTGAGAGTGAGAAAAGACAATGCAAATGAGGAAGTCTTTGCCCACTACTCATTGGAAAAGAGCACACAACCAAGGGAGCATGGGAATGCCAAGCTGCAGAGTGCCAGGGGTTAGCTACATCACATTCCAAGAAACATTTGAGGATGAGGAGCAGGAACACAGTAAAAGTCTATGTTTACTGTAAGAGCAACTTACCGTTCCTCTTGTGAGTTATGTAACAGTCCCAGTGCAATTGGTTTGGAAGTCTCTGGGTACTCTACCTTGAACTTCAGAGCTTTTCAAAAAGGAAAGTATTTGCTGTATATATACATTACAAACTCAGAATTTGGCTCTTGTGCATTCCTCAAATATTGTGAAAGTTCAGCTCAGGCTCTGCTTTCATAGGGTATTGAAATTGGAAATATTTTTTGCCAAAGACATTTGACAAGGTTCATCATGGAAATCCAAAATTGCAGTCTTATGTGAATTTTGTTCTCTGCAGCTGCAACCAGGTTTGCACATCTGCTCTGTCATTTTGCTGCAAGTTGGGATGGGGGGCAGGCAGGGAGGGAATACCCTGGTTGACAGCAGTAGCCTAGATTATCAGAGAAAACAGCAGTGTTCTGCTGATGTTAGCCCAGGGCTTTTCTTCAGTCACTAACTTGTCATTTTATATTGCAGTATTCGCAGTGTCCTGATGTTTTAGGATTCTCCAGTGTTAAGCAGCAGATGGCTCAGCACCAGTACAAACTTTACCATTCTCCAATACAACTGATATGAAATACGAACCAAGACATTCCCGAAAGGTCTACCACCACCATCCTTGAATAAAAGGATCAAGCTCAAACTCCACACTTCAAGCACAACATTTATAAATGAAATAATCTTTTTCTTTCTACCTCCTCCTCATTCTTGTTTTAAATCCTCTACATTGTGCTCTAATTTTTTAATAGCCAGTTATGAGTTACAGAACTTGCTGCTGCCACAGGTGTTATAAAAATGTTGAGTTTTTTAAATTACTTATAATATGCAATCTTTTAATAAAATAAAAATTAAGAAAACAGGGCTTCCGTAACACTGCAAGCTTAAGAGACTTGTGCATGCAGTTCAGTACAGTAAAACAGTTAGAACTATGTATCCATCCTGAATGACTTTAGCATTCCAGTGCCTGATAGGCAAGGAAATTACTGCAGAAATTAAAATTTATGTTGACCATGTGTTCGAGTTAATAATTTTAGTAAATGATATTTAAGTAAATCACAGACTTAGGTACTGAAGAATGTCTCACCACTGGATATTTTAGCAAATTAACACTTCCAGACATCTTATGTAAAACTGCTGTGGTGGTGTTCTGTATTGTGGTTTGTCTTTGGTGGGTTTTGTTGGTTTTTTTCCTTTACCTTTCTGCCTCTTTCTTGGGGTTGTTTTAGTTGTTGATCAGTATGGTTTTAGATCTTTGGCCAGTTTATACAAGTGCATCTGATGTTTGGGAAACAATGTGAAGAAATATGAACGTGCATCAAATATTGATTTTTGTTTCCATTACATAAAGGGGAGGTTTCTTAACCTCTTAAGTGTGAATACAGAGTAAAGGGTGAAAAACTGGTAACAGTTTGCAACAACCCAAAACATAAGGCATCTTGCTGCTTTCTGCATTTGCAATGTGGAAACAGGAATAGAGGCTATTTCTATCTTGGCAAATATGGTCGACATTGACTTATCTTTTGAAAGGACTAATCAGAGCTTGCAGGCACTCATTCACATGCATGGCAGCTGGGTAGGAGAGTCTGTGAAGTAAGGGGACTCTGTGCTACTGATGAGTTACTTTTTTGTGTCAGCAGAAAGATTCTTTGAGCTGCCTGGCTAGTTTAATGATTTGAGGACAAGTTTACCAAGAGATTACACTTTAACAGAAGATCCTTAAACATGTGTATAAACTAAATTTACACAATTAAGACCTGAACTTCAGTCTTTAGAGTAGAAGAGGAAAAAATAGAGCTAGAGAATAAATTACAACGAACCTCATTTCTATGCTCTTCAGGATGATCCAAAGCCCATTTTTGTTGTTCTATTCTGCCAAGCATAGTAAACACCTACTGTTAGTATCTTTACTAGGATAGTTGCTAGTGTCCAAAACAATAAACCATTCTCCTAGGGACATTTTATGAGGCAGCCATCTAGTTCTGTCTCCACATGGAGGAATGAAGTGTCTTCTGATTGGAGAAAAACAAAAAGTTCATAGTTACTTCACTAGAGTATTATACCCTGGAGATCCTCATCAACACTCAGCTGAAGATCAGTTTGTTTGTGTGATTGTACAGCGTGAACAGAAGGTTTCTGGCAGACCTTCCTAATGGCTCTCTGGCTCTGAGGTACTCCAGGTGGGTTCAGGGCAACATACAGCAACTCTGTGTGAGCCTCCATTTAGGAGCTTTCCTGGGAGCAAGTAGAGACCACACTCCACTACAAAAAATCCACAAAAGAACATGACAAACTCAGCAATTTCTCAAGAAACAAACTCTCCATCTGACAAAGCACAAATGGTGTTTCCTCAGACCTTAAACTATGCCAAGTGTTTACTGAACATCACTTGGCTTCGCACACAGCTGAGCACTCTCATGTTTCTGCTCTCCCACCACATCCCACCCACCCAGCCACTCCCCCGGGAAACAGCACAGGACAGTTGTGCAACTCCAGCAGCACATGCTGCAGCGTGCAGAGACATGCACTATGCAGCTCTATTTTTACATGCTTGTGAGATCACCCTCCCTGACAGTGCATCATGGCCAAATGATCATTTCCACACAGCATAATCCCCTTTGCTGCTTCCAGGTTATCAGATGGAGAGCACCGATCCCAGTAATAAAAATATCTGTGCTACGCAGTTACCTGGGAGACAACAAGCCTGTGTTTTGTTCAAGGGTTGTCACATCTTTGGACAAATGAAAAAAATTTTTCTCTTACAGATATATAAATCATAAGTCACGACAGATTTATTAATTTTTTAATGCAGCAGGCAGACCAGGCTGAACATTGAGCATCTTAAAAACTTCATTCTAAAACTCTTTATTCCTGGGAAATTATACATCACCAGCATTCATGGTCTGATTGGGGCTACAAAAGGTGTGCAAACAATGTATGAAAACGTAGAAATGTCATGGGAAGAACTGATAGATGTCCCTGTTCACCTGAAATACAGATCCAAATGATCCACAAGTGCATGTTGGCTCCAGTGCCAACTGCTCATCTCCAAGACAGGAGCATGGCAGCACCTGGCCATCACCACCTAGAGGTTGGGCTTGACCAGCAGTGCCAAGAAGCAATTCCACGTGGCTGGAACCACTGTCACACCACAGGGCCACCATGCTCTGTGCAAGAGCTCAGCCAGCTGCTGGGGCACAGTAGTGCTGCTGGGCTGTACCGGTGAAGCTGGAGATGGGTTCAGGGAACTTGAGGCTTGGGGGCTCAACCTGCCAACACCAACCTGCTGCTGACCTTCCCCCTCAGCCCATGGAGCAGGGTTGGGACACACGGTAGCAAGCGCCAACACAAACCTCTGTGTGCAGTACCCTGAACACAGAAACGTGGGATTGACATCTTCCCAAATGCAAAAGCAGTTCCCAAACATACATGCTGCTCCACTCAGCCTGGTTCTCCAACAAGCTCTTATTCATCCATTCTCCTATAAATCACGTTGTCCAATGCCTCAGCAGAAAACAGCTCTGTGGGAACCCAGAGAGCTTGGGGAGAGTGAGCCCACTCACAGACTGGGTTACACATCAGTGAAGGAAATGTGTCCTTGGAAAAAGTCCCTTCCTGAGACACTGTCACCTTACTACTCAGGTGAAAACAGCTGCAATACCACAGACAGTAAAGCTTCAATCCAGAAGGACATGTGTGTTTGTACATCACATCATGTTTTCACTACCTTATCTTCTTTCTTTTTTTTTTCTTTGAATTTTTAATTCTTTAGTAAATACCTTGGTGTGAAGGTCCACCAGGTCAAATGCTCTGCCTTGGCAACCCAGAGACACTAAGGAAGCCCCAGCAGTGCTGCAAATCTCCTCCCTCCACACCTGCCATAAAACAACTGGAGGGGAAAAAAAATTTTCCTATGCTCTCTGTGCCTTTCAGGCCCAAGGGCAGAGTCACTGATAAAAGCCACCCTGGAGGACTTCTGACCCCATCCAGCTATCCAGCTCCTCCCCTCAGCACTCCCTGTGCTCCTCAGCGTCCAGCATCCGACACAGACTAACCACAGCTCTCTGCTCTCCAGCGACAGTGCCACACCAGGACTGCTCCAGTTCCACAGCTAGGGTACTTAACAACACCGAGCTTCAGCCAGACAGGCAGCAGCTACCCTCCAGCCCGATAAAGCAACGGGAACGCCTCTACTAAAACCACATGGCCACTTCAGGAAAAGTAAGGACAATGCCTTTTCCATCTTCCTTTCCGAGCTGCCCTGCTCTTGGGGAAATACTCTGCAAATGGCTCAGCCTGTGCACTGCTACTGCATGCACTCTCTCCTCCCACCTTACTCCCCCAGCTCTTCCAAACCCCTTTGAATTCCATGAGCTTCTGCTTTCCTACAACTGCACCTGTCAGTACCTGCATTAGGTAGTGCCTTTCTCCTCTGTCCTGCCCACCAGCTCAGGAATGAGATACTGAATTGTACTGCTCTGAAAAACACCCTCCTGCTCAATCCCACTCTGTGCTCCTGCTTGGGCAGGAAATATAGCTCTTCCATCTTGCAGCCACTCATCTCCTGCATTCAGCCTTGTCCACGGCGATACATTTTTCAAGCTTCAACCTCCATTTTGCTGATGTCAGAGCAGTTTTGGGTTGATCGGTGCAGGATTTGTGTGATGTCACACACAAAGCATCGCTTTGGTAAGGCAAGCAATTATCCAGTTGCCAGCCAGACATGGACCGTTCCCTAATCCCTCTTAGTTACCTTCAGCCCACTGAAACTCAAAGTACTGTTCTTCCTGCTGAAGCTGCAGAAGCGCTTGTGTTGCTGTCACATCTGTCTAGTACACCAGAGTCTTTTTCCCTTCAGGGATTGTCTCCAAACTCACTTGGTGTTTACATGGCAAACCTGAGAGGGGCCAGAGCTATCCTCAGCTTCTCCTTAGCACAGACCAGTCCAAGGCCAGGCAGATATCAGCACTCAGTGCTGTTGGAAGGGCCCACAGCCTCTCTTGTGCCACAGCAGCTCAGCCCTGCTGCCCTGCTGTCATCCACAGAGCCCTGTCCTGCAGACACAAGGCAGGTGGATTCTTTTCAGTTTCCAGGGAAAACACAACCCTTACTCTCTATGGACTGGTCACTTTGTCTTTGCATTTCACTCTTCACACTATGCCAGTGTTTACTGAACATCAC